GGAATTCTAATACATTTGCCAGATATGATTACCCCTTCATGGAGCATGCTGACTTTGCTGGACTATATGCTGCATTTCTAAATATTATGGTCTTGCATCCTTTATAATAGACTGCAATTCCCACAATGATAGATGTTAAGCTAATTGGCCGACAGTTACATTTTTGAAAATGAATGCTACTCAGACAGTTTTCCAGTCCTCTGTGACTTTTTCAGAATCAAATATTTCTTGGAAGACAACTATCTACGTATTCACTATCTCTGCAGCTATTCCTTTAAAATTCTAGAGGGCAACCTAAAAGCCCAGAGGACTTATTGGTTTTTAGCTCCACTAAATTTCATAGAATCCATTCAGTGTGGAAACAGGCCATGTGGCCCAAAAAGTCCACACTCAGACTCACCTCTTTACCCTATCCCTGTATTTCTCTTGGCTAGTCCACCTAACCTATACATCCCTGGACACTATGGGCAATTTAGCATGGCCAATCCACCTAATTTGCACATCTTTGGACTGTGGGAGGAACCCGAAGAACCCAGCGGAAACCCACGCAGACACGGAATTGAACCTGGGTCCCTGGTGCTGTGAGACAGCAGTGCTAACCACTGAGCCACCTTGCCACCCCAGTATGTTCTCACTATTGGTAGTTATTGTATTTAATTCCTCTTGAATGTTTAGTATTCACGTTTTCTACCATGAAGACTCATGCAAAGTAATTATTCAACACCTTTGTCATTTCCTGATTTCACATTATTATCTCCCCAGGCTTATTCTCTAAGGGGCCTATGTTCACTTTGCATTTTGTCATCCTTTTTGGATATTTAAAGAAGCGCTTGCAGTTTGTTTTGTTATCACTTGCTATTTTACCATTAATGTCTAGTTTCTCCCTTTTTTAGGTTAACTTTTATTGGTTTTTGAGATTTTCCCAATCCACTGGCTGGCCACCATCTATGCTACATTGTATGTTTCTTCTTTCAATTTGATACTGTCCTCAAGTTACTTGGTTAACAATGTTGATTTATTTCCTTCCCAGAATCCTTTTTCCTCACTGGGATAATAACTTTGTTCTAAGTCATGTACTATTTTCTTATACATATGCCATTATTCATCAACTGTCTTTTCTGCTAAATTCATTTCCCAGTACACTCCAGCCAACTCTGACCTCGTTATTTGCAATTGTTCTTATTTTCGTTTAGTACAGTTGCTTCCGAGCCATGTTTCTGACTCTCAAAGTGAATCCTGCCTTTTTACATGCACCATTATCTCTTGATTTCTCTGTCTCCACTAAAGCTACTGTCACGGGGCCTATAGATTGTACCCACCAGAGTCCTCCCTGGTTATTTCTTATCTTCACCCATATGGATTCCACATCTTTCGATTCAAGATAATTTCTTGTTTTATACTGAATCTATCTTGTGTTAACAAAGATACCCCATCACCCTTTCCCTCCTACCTGCCCTTTCGGAAAGTAACATCCTCCTGAATATTCAGTTCCCAGCTTTAATCTCCTCATAGCCATGTCATAGGAATATAGGAACAGGAGTAGGCCATTCAATTCCTCAACTCTGCTCCAGCATTCAATGAGATCCTGGTGATCTATGCCTTAACTCCTTACACATTTGCTTTTGGCCCAAATCTATTAATACCTTTGCTTAACAAAAACTTAGCTACCTCAGATTTAAATTTAACAACTGACCAGCATCCACTGCCATTTGTGGAAGGGAGTTCCAAACATCTACCATTCATTGTGTGTAGAAGTGCTTCCTAACATCTGTCCTGTACAATCTCACCCTAATTCTCAGATTGTGATCCCCTAGTTCCTCAACCAGTGGAAATAGTTTAGCTTTATCTACCCTGTCTTTTGCTGTCAATGTCTTGAAGACTTCAATCAGATCGTCCCTTAACCTTCTAAATTCTAGGGAAACTCTCTCCTCATAACTTAACCCCTGAAGTTCAGATATCATTCTTGTAAACCTACGTTCTATTCCCTGAAAGGTCAATATACCTTTCCTAAGGTGTGGTGCCCAGATCTGCTCATATTACTCCAATGGAGGTAACCTGAATTTTGTATAACTGCAGCATAGTGTCTGTATCTTTATTTTCCAGTCCTCTAGAATATAAAGGCTACATTCCATTAGCTTTCTTGCTTATGTTGGGCTCCATAGTTGTCTCTGCAATGGCAGATCACACCCATTAAACTCTTTTGTGCCATTCCTTTCTTTATTTCATGTACTTAAGAACAGTTAATTTGTTTTGAAATGTTGTCGTGGTTCAGAATTGTGGGGTAGCAATTTAGACTTTTTCTAAATGCCATTCTATAGATCTAGACTTCCTTTAATATTAGATTTGTCATAATTTGAAAGTTACTGTTTATGCCTCAATGGAAAGAAGCCACTTATGATTCAGAGTTTAATTATTTCAGATTTATCACTTAATCATCCTATTGATAACCACAATAAGTAGTGTTTATAATATTCTTGGTCTTGTGCTAAAGAATATTTACAGTCTGCCAATGTAAAGAAAGAATTAACTTTATTTAATAACACCTTACTGTGGCATCATTTTGCTAAGTGGCTACAAGACTGAACAAAATCATGTGATAGTGCACTGCTACTCTTATGATATGTATTGTGTATCATTAGCATAGAATAATCATACTTCACTCCTTATACTACAACCTTGATTTGCAGTCCTCAGTCCAAGGATCATTAACAAAACAATTAAAACAGACACAAATACTTTGGATACTGTAAATCTGAAATAAAAACAGAAAAGATTGAAATATTCCAAGGAGAAATACGCAATAGATCTGACATCATTTCAGAGAGAGAAACAGAATTGATGTTTCTTGTCTGTCATCAGAAATATATATATAGTTTTATATATAGTTCCTTATGTATCCTCTTCATAATACACAAACACATACAGTAATATGTAATGATATGTACATATTTCATCACATTACCAGGAAGAGAGGTGTCTTTAGTATCAAGGCATAGCTCAATTGGTAACATATGCCTCTGGGTTCAAGTCTCACTCTAGTGCTTGATAACAAAAATCAATGCTGTAACTCCAGTACAGTACTGAGGGAGCACTGTACTCTCACAGGTTTTATTTTGTAGAAATCAAAGTGTGAAATTGCACTCAAACTGCCCATTGTGCAGTCTATTTGTGAAGAAGCTGAGAGATATTTAATTTCTGAACAGAGTTCAGAGAAAAGCCAACAATAATTTACATTTATATACCCTTTCAAATATGTAAGCATATCAAGGTACATTGGAGTGAAAAAGAAACATTAGGAAGGAATGAATGGGACACTTGATCGAGTATTGTGGATTTGTGCAGTATCAAAAAGGAAGAAAGAGCATGAAGAGTAGATGGGGTTAAATGGAAAGAATGTGGGGCCCAAGCAAGTGAAGAAGAAGTTGTGAGGGGAGGAAGCAGAAATCACTGAGTAAATGCCTGTAAATCCAGTGGCATTGGGAGTCGTGAACATATCACTGACCTAAATGAACCTATGTGTAGAAGTGTTACCAGCTGCAAAAGCTTGAGCTCTGAATTTTGGCACTGGAGTGGCAGCAGAAGTCGCTGTGGGCTGTATCTATAAGGCAGAGAACTACAAGGAAAGCATGTTCAGAGAAGTAGTCATTTGGCAGCTTGGGGCCAAGCAGACAGATAGGGAATGTAGACCACCAGACTGACCAAGAGAAACAGACAGGTAAGTGAAGGGTCTCACTACTAATCACTTTCCCATTCTGGATAGTGGTGGGATCCTTGCAGGAGAGCAGCAACAATCAAGCCCATGGCACCACGGGTAGCCCATCTGTACAGAAGGGAGGGAATTGTAGTGTAAGGACAGTACTGAGGGGCATTCTTTAGTTAGCATAACAGGCAGACATTTCAGTGGCCATCAGTATGACTCCAGGATAGTATATTGTGTCTGGTTCTGGGGTTAAGGAAGTGACTGAGCAGCTGCAGGGCATTCAGGGGGAGGGGAACAGTCAAAGTCATGATCCATATTAGTACTAACAACATAAGTAAGATGGGGAAAGGGGCCCTGCAATCAGAATTTAGGGAGCTAGATAGAAAATTAACAAGGACAACCTCAAAGATAGTAAACTCTGGAAAACTCCCAGACCTACATTCAGTGAGTACAAAAGAGGAAGATAGGACAGATGAATTACAATTATAACATTTAAAAGGCATCTGGATGGGTACATGAATAAGGGTTTCGAGGGATATGAGTGAAATGCTGGCAAATGGGACTAGGTTAATTTAGAATATCTGGTTGGCATGGACAAGTTGGACTGTATGGTCTGTTTCTGTGTTGTACAACTCTATGGGCCATTAAACCGAGAGATCCTCACCTCATTTGGATGTGAATGATCCCAAGGCACTGTCTCAAAGAGCAGAGTTGTCCCCAGTGTCCTGGGCAACGTACGTAGTTGAATTAACATCAGGAAAAAAAGATTATTTCATTATTACCATATTTGTGTTTGTGGGAGTTTGCTGTGCACATACTGTTTGCTGACGTTTCAATCTCACATTAGCGGCCACACTTTAAAAAGCACTTAAGTTGGCTGTAAAGGATCAGATTTCCAGCATCTGCAGTTCTTTGTTTGGACACGAAACACGAACTGTGCTGTCTCTCCACAGATGATGCCAGAACTGCCGAGATTCTCCGGCAATTTCTGTTTTTGTTTCAGATTTCCAGCATCTCCAGTTCTTTATTTTGTTAAAGGAATGCCAGGTCTATCTTTCTATTTGGGCCTAGCAACAAGTTAGAAAGGAGCAGGAAGAAAACATATTTCAGAATTAAAATAATCGTGTTTCAACAACTGATGAGATAATGTCAATAGAGTTACATAGTGGTGCCATGATCTAAAGTAGAACAATATTTGAAGTTTGCAGTTGTCTTGGGAGGACAGTGGCTGGTTGCCATGACAACGGGCAGCACCGAGGCCAGGCGCGCATGCGCGCTGCGTCACTTTGGGGCCTGTGAAGCCGGGCTGTAAATTAGTGCTCGCCTGCCGCCGGAGGCAGCGCCCGCTACCAGCTCTGCCCTGCCCGACCCGGCCCGCCGCTGCCGCCGCCTCTTCCTCCTCTTCCTCCTCTTCCTCCTCTTCGTCTTCGCACCGAATCTCCGGAGCCAGCGGGCCATGGCGGACAGGAGCGAGGTGCAATCTCCTCATGCTCCTGGCCATCATCACCACCACCACCACCACCACCATCATCACCAACAACAGCAGCAGCTGCAGCAGCTACAGCAACAGCAGCAGCAGCAGCTACAGCAACAGCAACAGCAGCATGCTCCACCGCCCAGCCTGGTGCGGATGGTGAAGTCGGTGATCCCCGTGCTGCCCTGTGCCACCGTCTCCACAGCCCTGCTCGGGTGGATCATGTTCTACCTGACCTGCAGGTACAAGATGTTCGATGAGCACACCTTCACCCTGGGCCACTTCACCAGCCGCTTGCAAGGTAAGGGGGAAGGGGAGTCATGCTGGACATAGCAATGGTCAGTGTTAGAAGGGTCTGATGAGTCAGGCTCTATGCACTTGAGTGGTGTGGAATATCCAAGCCGTGCAGTGATTATGGCAGTGAAGGCATGAGGAAATATCTTTCCACGTCTGAGTGGTTAAGGTATGGAATGCTGTGCCTGAGATTGTTCCAGGGCAGTTGAGGCCTTCAACAGGGCATTAGATCTTTATTTGAGGAGGATCAATGTGCCTGGTTAAAGGGAGAAAGATGCTAGGTGAGATGACCTTGGGTTGCCGGCGCTGGCACTGGCATTGGCACAATGGGCCGAATAGCCCCTACCGAAGCTATAAGAATCTGTGATATTCCCCAATCCTCAAAACATTTGGAAGATGGATATAGGTATGTGATGAGTTAATGCATGTTGATGTGAGACATTAGCATAGTCTGTACATAGAGTTGTATGGATATGTATGTGACCCCTGGATGAGAACAGGCTGAAGCTGTAAAACCAGTTGAACCAGACACAGACTCAGCAAGGGAATAAAGTGTGTCATGACTGCAGTGGACTGTTGTGATACTTTGACTATCACATAATATCAGAAAACCATTTAGGACCTGTAGTATGGCCAATGTAGAAAACATTGTCTTGATGTGGAATGGAACATCACGACCATTTTTGATGAGCTCTGGGTCGTTATTACTTCCTTCTTTTGAAGCAGATGAGAAAATACACCTTTCACTGAACACCTGAAAAACAGAGTTCCTCTTCCAGTCAGTTCCTACAACAAAATTCCTCCCAAACAACTGCCTGCGCGTTCCACATAAGATGGATTAAGAGCAATGGTGAGAACTTGAAATATGTGGACAATTTTCATATCATGGGAGACTTCCTTTGACAAAAGCAAATATTGACAAAATTCACCATCAGCTCCGTTGTACCTGCTCAGTTTTCAGCCACCTGAGGGAAAGGGTATTTGAGGGTGAGGATCTAAAACCCAAGACTAAGGTCATGATTTACCGAGCAGCAGTGATTTTTGTTTTTTCATAGGTTTCAGAAACTTGCACAATCTACAGTAGGTATCTCAAAGCACTGGAGAATTATCACCAATAATGCCTTTGCAAGATGCTCCAAATCCATTGGCAAGAAAGACAATACAACAGCAGCGTCTTTTCCCAAGCTAATTTGCCCAGCATTGAGATACCAATCGCTTAAAATTAGCTCTGCTGAGCAGACCATGTTATTTGAATGTCTAACATCAGACTCCCAAAGCAACTGACCTGAAATCAGTTGTGGCAGGAGACTCTCAGGAAGACAAGGGAAAAAGAACCCTCAAAGCATACATGAAAGGGCCAGACACATTCACTGACACTGGGACACCCTGGCTTGCCACAAACAAAATTGCAAATTTTTTATTTGGGAATGCAATGAGCCCACTGAGGTTGTTTGTTGTGAGTATGCAGAGATAAGTCAAGGCATTGGAGCGTATGTCTAAATGTCCAAACACCCCTTCCTACCTACTCTTCGAGTGCCAATATTCTACATGTGGCAGTATCTGCTCTGGACTTACTGACCATCTCAGAACCCAGCGAACCAGAGTGGCTCCTTGATCCCTAAGGGTCTACATATGATGGAGAAAGAGGTGAATATGTTAGAATCTCACAAACTGCCACATGGAAAGAGGCTATTCAGTCCTCAGTCCATGTCATTATCATCTGATCCTCTATCTCTGTTAAACAAAAAACTGGTATGTATATAGAACCGTTAGCACAGTAAAATGTTCCAAGACGATTCATGGGAACCTTATCAAACAAAATCTGACACCAAGTAACATAATGAGATATTACAGCATATGACCAAAAGCTTGATCAAACAGAGTTTTTAAGGTGCATCTTATAGGAGAGAAGGGAGGTAAAGAGGTTAGTGAGGAAAGTGTAGAACTTAGAGCTTTGGCAATTAAAGGCAAAGATACCAATAATGGAGTAATTTAAATCTGGAACATGCAAAGGATCAGAATTGGAAGTGTTCAGACATCTCTGAAGTTTATGGGACTGTAAAGATAGGCAGGGATGAGGCTGTGGAGGGATTTTAAAACCAGGATGAGAATTTTAAAATTGAGGTACAGCTTAACTGGGAGCCAGTGTAGGTCAGCAAATACAGGGGTGCTGGATGAATATGACAAGAGTTAAAATATAGGCTGCAGAGTTTTGGCTAGGCTTAGGTTTACAGAAGGTAGAAGCACCAACTAAGGCATTTCTGTGGAGATGAAGATACAGGAGATGGGTGGGGCAGAAAAATTAAGTGACAAAGTGGAGGTCGCTTTTAGATCCAAAAGTCATGCAGAAAGTGATTCTGCTCAGATGGGGTACATTCCTGGCCAGGAAACAGACTGTAACTAAAGCTGAATAGCTATTTACACTAGTAGGTCAATTACAGGCTTGGCAGGGAATAGCAGTGAGGGGACAGGGTGCGTTGGTGAAAGGGTTTAACGCTGATCAAAATTACTTTTAAAATTAGGATCAGTGACATAGCAGCTGAGTCTTCCAGTGTATCCAATGCAGAAGTTTAGTCTCAATGTTGAATAAAATCCAGGAATGTGGGAGCCACATTGGGGGAAGAAAGAAACACTGCTCACTAAGGGAAGCAAAGAGCATACATGCATTGCCATATCCTGAAATCAGAAATGTACTTCTTTATATCTGCTCTGAATGGAAGAAGCATGTCAAGGGTTTCTGATTATAATTTTATTGCATTAGAGGTTGTAAGAGATCCCCAAAAAAGAATGAAAACAAAAATTTGCATTTATATAATGCCTTTCATGACCTCAGGATGTCCAAACTTATTTTACAACTAATAACTTACTGATGTAATGTAGAAAACCGGGCAGCCAACTTTCACACAGTCAGGTCCCAAAAACATAATTACATAATTAGTCATCACATTATTACCAGATAATCTGTTAAAATGATGTAGGTTGAGGGATAAATGTTGCTGAGGGCGTTAGAAAGAAGTTAAAACAGTGCCATGGAGTCTTTTACAATCACTTCTGAGAAGGGTAGATGGGAGCTTGGCTTAACGTCTCATTGAAACAAGGCATGTCCAACCATGCCCACCTTCCCCTATACTGCGCTGGAGTATCGGGATGTTTATCGCTGATCCGTGGCTAGACTCTAAGCACACTCCTCTGAAAATTGGAAAACACTGATAAGTCAGGTTGTGCAGTTGAAGCTAAATATAGTAGTCAGGCTCATTTACAAGATTTATGATTGCACAGAAGTTGAAGCACAATACTCAGCTGAGCAAATACTAATTAGGTATTAAAAATTGCTGAGACATTCTTTCAGGATCAAGAACACAGTGTCACAATCCCAGAATAATGGGCTTTCCATGGATTGCCACCTTGCTGCAGTAGAGAGGCTTGAGTGTTTTGTTGATCCTGAGAGTGATGCCATCAAGAGTTCTCAACTTCTGGCAGGGGCACCATGATGGTAAAGTCACAGGGAAGGAAAAGACAAAGTACAACCCAAAACAAATTCTTAACAGTGTTCCTAGCAAAAGACCCTTGTGCAATATCAACGGCTTCAATAGTAGGGAGATCCCCAGTCACTGAGGTTGGCTTGTCAATGGAATGGAATCTATCTTCCGTCAAGGACCGTGTGTCTACTGATGTGCAACAGTATTCCCATGTTAAAAGACGTCCTCTGCCTTTCCTAGGTGGTCAATCATACTCGGTAATGGATGATTGCTAATGATGAATAGGCTGGTCACTGAGGACTGAGATGAAGAGGAATTTCTTTGTTCAAATGGTTGTGAATTTTTGCTGTTCTCTGCCTCAGAAAGCAATTGTTTTACGTATTTGAGACAAAGGTCACTGGAGTTCTGGGTACAAAGGGATTGTGCAGGAAGGTGAAATAATGGTAAAAGATTGATCATGGTCCTGTTCAATGGTGAAGCAAGCATGAAGGGTCACTTGAACCACTCCAGCTGTTAGTTCTTGTGTTCTTGCATGGAACCATGCACAGTCTTGGAAAATAAAAATATCTGCAATTTCAGGCATTTTTAATCAATCTGCCCAGATGTGTTTGACAACACATGTAGTGCAGGTATGACTTGAAGCTGGGTCTCCTGACTCAGAGGCGAGGATACTGCCACTGCACCGCAAGAGCTCTTCAGCTGAGATTTTAGGAGTTGAAATGTGGTTGCCTCTGATCACCCAAATGCTGCCTCAGCTGTATGGAAACCATAAACTGAGAATCAATGAAACAGGAAAATTCCTTTAAAATTTCAAGGAAGGAAGAACTAATGTTCATTCATAGATTTTTATGAACTTATTCAAACATGTTATGACACAGATCTGCAACAATGGGATTTGAAGCCAGATCCGGCAGAGTTTCACCTGCCCTTCATCCAACCTGATCTATTGTATCCATTGCTCCCAATATGGTCTCTCTGTATCGGGGAGACAACACACAGACTTGAGGACCAGTTTGTGGAGCATCTGCACTCTGCACACACCAACCAACCCAATCTTCCAGCTGCCATCCATTTTAATTCCCTCTCCCACTCCCTTAGCAACATGTCCATCCTTGGCCTCCTCCACTGTCAGAGTGAGGCCAAACGTAAACTGAAGGAACAACCCCTGATATTTTGCCTTGGGAGCTTACAGCCCAGGGCCTCAATATTGACTTCTCCAGCTTCAAAATCCCGCCATCCCCAGCCTTAGCCCATGTCCAGTCCTCCCCCTCCTCCTCGCTTCCCTGACCTGACCTCATCTATCCATCTTCCTACTCACCTGTCCACTCCAGGCTTCCCACTGACTATTCACAATAACTCCCTACCTGCATCCACCTATCACCATCCCACCTACCCTTCTCCCAGCCCCACCTCCCTCCCTCTATTTACTTCTGTGCTCCCCTCCCTCTCCCCAGTCCTTACAAAGGGTTTTGGCCCGAAACATTGACTTTCCTGCTCCTCGAATGCTGTCTGACCTGCTGTGCATTTCCAGCTTCACATCTATTGACTCTGGCTTCCAGCATCTGGAGTCCTTACTGTCTCCAAATCGCTGATAACCAACACTGTGAAGTCTCTTCTAAGGATGCCCACCTTGAAGAAGTTTTCATCCTCCCTCCGAAGAGAGCTCAGTGAGTCTCTCTGCCACTGCAACCCCCCAGTTGTCTCCTCTGCCCTGAAGCTCTTCAACCACATTCTGAAGCAATCTCGCTACTACTGTCAGGTCTCCTTCCTCGGTGCCTGTCTACACAACTGGCTCGCTCCCCCATGGACACCAAATAATGTTCAGACCTTCACAATTTGGACCCAACCATGACAATTGTTATCAACAGTGCCTCTAGAAATGATTCTCCCTGCGGATTCTCAGCTCCACGCGCTCTGCCATTCGTCGACATCTTTTCTCCCAGCATTCGGCCTTGCCCAAGCTCAGGGCCTCTCTCTCCCAGACCTGCAGGGCACCTCAACTGTTCTTTGTTCTCAGAAGGATCCACACCCTCAACAAATGCTTTTTCTCCACTCTATCAGACATCAAAGACCATAAGTATGCCAAACTCTGTCATACTTACCACCAGACATGGACCTCCTCAATCATTCAGCATCCTAACTGCATCTCCGACTTTCTGTGGGATCAGCCTGACGCCATTGACGATGCAGATGCTGCAATCACTCCTATAGATCGCGTGATCACCGCTTCCGCTGACATTGAAAACCATGTAACTGCTGTTTCTGCCGACATTGAAGTCCACATAACTGCTGACATCATTGGCGACTGGGTTACTTCTGCCCACGTGACTGCTCCTGCGTGCACACCCACTCTGGATGAAGTCTTTGCCCCCCACTCCTGGCCCCAGCTCCAAGCCCTGCCGGATTTTAACCATACCCCTAGACCTCCCCCTCACTGAGGTTGAATGGTTAGTCCTCAGCAAAAAACTCACCTTCATTCCCCTGTGACCACACACCAACATGTTCCACGCATGTCATGATGTCGAGCTCTTTTTCTGCCACCTCCACATCTATTTCCTTGAACGGGAATTAAACCCACCCGCTAATGACCCCTTCTCCCGCCTCCAGCAAACTCCATCCCGACACCCCTCCTGGCCTTCTATCCTCCCTCAACCTCTTCATCTCAAACTGCTGCCGTGACATCAATCACTTGGATTTGTCCATCCCTCTCACTTACTCCAACCTCTCCCCATCGGAACGTGTAGCCCTCCACTCCCTTCGCTCCAACCCCAACCTTACAACTAAACCCGCTGATAAGGGAGGCACGGTCGTAGTATGGTGAACTGACCTCTACATCTCTGAGGCCAGACGCCAACTCTCTGACACCTCCTTCTACCATCCCCTTGATCATGACCCCACCTCTGATCACCAAGCCATCATCTCCCAGACCATAAACAACTTCATCACTTCAGGAGATCTCCCATCCATAGCCTCCAACCTGATAGTTCTCCAACCCTGCACCACCTGTTTCTATCTCCTTCCCAAAATCCATAAATCCAACTGCCCTGGTTGACCCATTGTCTCTGCCTGCTCTTGCCCCACCGAGCTCATCTCCTCTTACCCTGACTCCATTCTTTCCCCATTGGTCCAGGAACTCCCTACCTACATTCATGACACAACCCTTGCCCTCCACCTTTTCCAAAGTTTTCAATTCCTTGGCCCCCAACACCTCATCTTCACCATGGACTTACAGTCCCCTTATACCTGTATCCCCCATACGGAGAGCTTAAAAGCCCTCCGGTTCTTCCTTTCCTGTAGGCCCAACCGGTCACCATTCACTGACACTCTCATTTTGCTGGCAGAATTGGTCCTCGCTCTTCACAATTTTTCTTTTGATTCCTGCCACTTCCTACAAACTGAAGGAGTGGCGTTAGGCACTCAAATGGGCCCGAGCTAGCCTGCCTCTTTGTAGGATTCGAGGAACAGTCCCTCTTCCACAACAACACCGGCATCATCCCTCACCTCTTTCTCTGCAATATTGATGACTCCATTGGTGTGCCTCGTGCTCCCACGAGGAGCTCGAGCAGTTCATCAACTTCGCCAACACCTTCCACCCCACCCTCAAATTCACTTGGACCATTTCTGACACCTCCCTCCCCTTCCTGGACCTCTCCGTCTCCGTCTCTGGAAACCGCCTCACCACTGACATGCATTTCAAACCTACTGACTCCCACAACTACCTTGGCTACACCTCTTCTCACCCACCTCCTGTAAAAATGTTATCCCATACTCTCAATTCCTCCGCCTCCACTGCATCTGCTCCCACGATGAGGCATTTAATCCAGGACATTCCAGATATCCTCCTACTTTAGGGAGCGTAATTTCCCCATCTCTGTTTCAACCGCATCTCCACCATTTCCTGCATTTCTGCCCTCAAACCCCCTCCCCCAACAACAATAAAGATAGAGTCCCTTTATCCTCATGTACCACATCCTCCAAACCTCCAAATCCAATGCATCATGCTCTGACATTTCCGCCACCTACAATCAGACCCCACCACCAAAAGGATGTTTCCTTCCCCCCCACTCCGGTCTGCTTTCCACAGGGACCGTTCATTTCACGACTCCCTCGTCAGCTCTACACTCTCCTCCAACTTCCCCACGCCCAGTACCTTTCCCTGCAACCTCAAGGGGTGCAACACCTGTCCCTACACCTCCCTTCTCACCTCCGTCCAAGGCCCCAAACAATCTTTCCAGATCTGGCAGAGATTCACCTGCCCTTCATCCAACCTTAACTATTGCATCTGTTGCTCCTGGTATGGTATCTCTATATCTGGGAGACCAAACACAGACTCGAGGACCAGTTTGCGGAGCATCTGTGCTCTGCACGCACCAACCAACACAACCTTCCAGTTGCCGTCCATTTTAATTCACTCTCCACTTTATTGGCAACATGTCCGTCCTTGGCCTCCTGCAGTCTCAGAGTGAGGCCAAACATAAACTGGAGGAACAACACCTGATAGTTTGCCTTGGGAGCTTACAGCCCAATGGCCTCAATATTGACTTCACCAGCTTCAAAATCCCTCCTCCCCCTCCTCGCCTCCCTGAAATGACCTAACCTGTCCGTCTTCCTACTCATCTATCCACTCTAGCCTTCCCACTGACTATTCACAATAACCCCCTACTTGCATCCACCTATCACCATCCCACCTACCCTTCCCTGCCCCCCCCCCCCCCCCCCCAGCCCCAACCCCTCCATTTACTTCTGTGCTCCCCTCCCCTTCCCCAGTCCTGACAAAGGGTTTCGGCTGTCTGACCTGCTGTGCTTTTCCAGCTTCACATCTATTGACTCTGCCACAAGACCCTTGTAATTAACGTTCAAGTTCTCCCTGTCATGATCACTGGAGTCTGCCAAGCATTTCACAGCCAATTAATTACTTTTGAAATATGTTCACTTGTTTTGTAGGCGTCAAATGACCAATTAGAATTTTGATTGTGTTGAATGATGCATAAAGTTTACTAGCACACTGGGCAAAATACCCTACTCATTGTTGGATACTGTGATAAAATCTTTCACACGCCAGCTGAGCAGGCAGACAGAACCTATGTGTGTCACTTTGCTCCTGTAGCTTATTCATGTATCCAGTAGTATTATTTAAAAATGAAATTCCACTTTGCCCTTACCCAGCCTAGCAACTGGAAGCCAATTGCTTTGCATGACATAAAGGTTCTATAAATGATGATTTTGTTAACCGAGTACCATTCTTCATGTGAACATAAGCAGTGAATGTCAGCTCTCCAACCACATAGTTATTGCAGATAAACTTTATTCTGGTCTTGTCTGAAGCCTAAGACAGCAGCTCAAGCTGGACCCTGGTATGTTTTTGTTAACCTGAATGGATGCAACAACATTAGGGAAATGATGGTGATTTGTCTACCTCTTGATCTTGGAACTGGAATATTGAATAAGGCCAGAGTAGTAAAAATCTGCTTTCTTGCCCTAAATGGACAGTTTAGGTACATGATGGTAGGTTTTCATTTTTCTTTCCACAAATTTGGAGAAGAAAAGATTGTACGAAAATGAGCTATTTTTCTGTTTTTGATCTTACTATTGTAGTGACCTTTCTTATTTCTAGTGTTTTCAGTACACTTTTGCAAGTGCACTTTTTTTTTACCTTTAGGAAGACTTTAAGCTGGGTATGTGGTGTATATATAGAGGGCAAGGCTATATGAAACCCAACGCTCGACTGTTGTGCTGGGATACTTCCCCAGACCTGACTGACCTGATTGTCTGAAGAGTGGCAACCAGTCAGATTAACATTCTGCTCCTACTTTATTTCTGTCTAGACAGAGCTCTACATTTCTGGCAGGAGATTTCAATTACAGCTTCTTCAGGGGAGTGTACCTGAAATTTAGTGGCTCCGTTGTAGGGCAGGATAGTCAGGGGAAGTCAGACCACATCGCCTTTGTTATGGCATTAGTTGCCGTATTCATTGATTTAAATTTCAGCAGCACTGATATCACAAGTTAAGTTCTGCACTACCTGTTCAATTGTTTAAAAACTACGTTGTATATTTATCACTAACATCTATTTCTTTTTGTTTAACTACAGTGTACAAGTTGTTTAGTTATGTGTTCATCCATAAGAGTATGAGCGCGCTGGTGTGCAATGTTCTTATGCTGTGGTATTTCGGTGGTGCTATGGAGAAGAGCATCGGAACAGTAAAGTACGCATACCTCACTCTCCTGTTTACAGTTCTGACTGGAATCATCTATGTCCTCATTGGTTCAATGATTTTTGGACTGCATAACCTAAAAGAAATTCAGGGATTTACTACACTCGTTTTTGCCTGCGTGGGGATGTCTGTATTTCTGTCCCCTATGAAGTACATTGTCTTTATAACAACTATCAAATTGATTTACCTCCCATTCATTTTACTTGCCATTGCAATTTTCATTCCGGAAGCATCGATCATTGGCAATGTTTGTGCATTGGGAGCAGGAGTTGCATGTATCCTTTTTTTTTTCAAAACGTCTTGCTAGCTAGATCTGAAATATTGTTCTAATTTTGTATTTGCTAAAATATATCCTTTCCCCAGTAGTTTGATGGTCTAACCATAATCTGTCGTTAAAATTTTAACTATCCTGTGTACACTGCGCCAATAGCACTCCAAACTGATGTGGTCAATCAGGAGTTTTAGATACCTCAGATGGAGAGATTTCTTTAGCCAAGATAGCAAGGTTCGAGACATTTTAACCCATCATCAGCATTAAGAAACTTTGTGAATGATGCAGGAAGCTCTAGCCCCTGGTGTACCTGATCGACTGGGTTCTTTTGCTGTGTATATGTTCCATGTTGTTTACTTGTCTCTTTACTTGAATGTTCCTTGCACATCTGGACTTGTTTTTCTAATACTTCTGAGACTCTTGCATAGGAGAAAAAAATTGTCATCTTTTAGGTAATCCCTGTTGCTTCTAAGTTCTATTTGGTGGCTCTGCCTGCATCTTCTGATGCCTTTTTCTCTGATATTTTCACACTGATTTGTGTTGCTGCTGAATTTTCCTCCCTTGTTCTTTCTAAACTCAAAATCAGCTAACCTACACACTGTTCCTACTCACTTGATCCTCGTAATAAAATCAAAAACTGTTGGTTCTATTTAATTCTTTGCAAGTACTTTCATAAGATTATTTAAAGTCCTACTGTCACAGTTTACAGGCTTTTACAGTCTCAAGTTTGACATCATCTAACTATTGCTCACTCGATTTCCTTCTACTATTTTCAGCCTTGCCAATTTTCTTCATTTTGAGTCTTTCACCTTAGACTCTTGAAGAAATCTTTAACTGTAATGCCTGAGTAAAGAAACAAAGTCAGTTATTATATTTAATGAAACCAATACTATTTATCCTTAATAACACCCCCTTTGCAAGATGTTTATGGTCGACGGTTCTTTCCTTATCTGGATTTGCATGAGATGACTGCTGCATCTATGGAAAGGAATTTTCCTTTTACTTATCTGAAGGTTATACCAGGGATCACATTTTATTCAGCCTTGTGGGAGGTGAGAAACGTCGAAATAACTGACAGGTAAGTGGCTGTTTTACTTCAACAAAGTTTACCTTTTTTAGTAGTATATCTTTCTTCCTTTTTACCCTTGGTCGCCCAAGGGCCTGGATTCCTGTAGGTATGGTTCCACAGGTTCTTATAGGCTCTGTACTTAATCAAAATGACTGCTGTAAGCAGTGAGATGTGAGCCTAAGCAGTGAGTACTGGTTAAGTGCATAGCTAGTGCAGATTATGCCCACATACGAGCAAGTAGGGATGTCTGCACAATGATAAGATGTGCCAATGTTTAGTTAGTTTTCTTCCCAATGATGAGTGGTACAATTATCTTTATTTCTTTTGGATGATGGAGCAAGCTCTATCTAGTTCAATGCCACAATAGGTGTCCAGTATACAGACACAGGCATTAAAGGACCCTGCTCCATATTTAAAAAGCAAAATCATAAAAGGTTATAGGTCACAAGGAGGCTATTTGGCTTGTTGTGTTTATTTGCTGCCTGTCTGCAGGATTCAGTTAGTTCCACTGCTCTGCCCTTTTCTGATAACCTTGTAAATCCTTTCTGTTCAAATGCTATTTTGAAAGTCACAGTTGAACTGCCTTCACCACCTTCTCAGTAAGTGCATTCTAGCTCCCAACCACTTATTGCATAAGAACCATGTTTATGCATGTCATCTTCGATTCTTTTGCGACTGGCTCTAAATCAATGTCCTGTGGTTCTTGATCCTGCTGCCAAAGGGAACCCTTCTCCCTATCTGTACTGTCCAGATCTCTCATGGTTTTGAGTTCCCTTATTAAATTTCCTCTTAGCACTTTTTTCCCTTAAGGCGACTTACACCGGCTTCTCAAATCTATCTTCCTCTCATCCCTGGAATTATGTTAACAAACCTTTTTCTTCATCCTAGCTACAAGCCTCTTAAGCTTACTAAAACATGGTAACCAGAATTAGACACAATACTCCAAGTGAGATGGACCAATGTTTTCTAAAGGTTGTAAATTAATTTCCTAACTTTTATACTCCCTGCCTTGATTTATAAAGCTTAAAGTCCTGCATGTAAAAACAGAAAATACTGAGAGGCTCAGCAGCTCTGGCAGCATCTGTAGAGATCAAAACAGATTGAAAGTTTTGAGTCTGACATGACTTCTTCAGAACAGAAAGGGGTTGAAAAATGATGGTTTTATGCTATTGATAGAGGAGCGAGTGAAACAGATTTTCATGGTACCCAGAGCAAAGGACAAAGTGAGTGTTAGTGTGGTAAAGGGGAGATAGAGACATAAAATATGTGTAAATTATAGGTTGTGAAAATGAGAAAATGGCTCCTCTTAAAGCTCCCTTCCTCACAGAAGTCTGGGAGTACCTTCCTCACATGGGCTGCAGCACTTCGAGAAGGTAGCGCACCTTTCCAGGACAAACATGGATGAGCAGTAAATACTGGCCAATCCAGCAACCTCCACATCCTGTGAAAGGTTTTTTTAAAACGTGGAATTCTCCAGTCCTTTGGCATCCTGTCAGGAGGATGGATGATTTTGGCCATCACCATTGCAATTTCTGCCTTGCCCACAACTCCATGCAATCTTGGGGACTTTCAGTCCATGTTGCAGTATATGTTTTTTTTAGTTCATCTATTCTTTCAGTTGCCGCCTTCTTCACTGTGACTTTTGCAGCACCTTCAGATGTAAACTAGCCATTTAGTATCACAGCCATGCCCACTGCCTCCATCCACAGATCCCCTTTTTGGCCCCTAATTATCCCTCCTCTCTTGCTGTTTGTGTGCCTTTAGAAAACCATTGGGTTCCCTTTTTTATATTAGCAGCCAGCTTCTTCTCATAATCTGTGTTTTCTTCTCTTATTTTCTTTTACTCTTCCCCCGACCCCTGAATTTTCTGTAGTCATCCTGGCTCTTATTTCTATTGTCAATCTGACATCTTTTTTGCCACTTCATCTCAATCTCTTCTCTCACACAGAGAGCTCTAGCTTTGTTTGTCCTGCCTATTCCAATTGTGAGCTTCTACGTTGACTGTGTCTGAACATTTCCCTCTTCAAATGGGAGGTGATGGCCTAGTGGTATTATCGCTGGACTGTTAACCCTGGGACCCAGATAATGTTCTGGGGACCTGGGTTCGAATCCCGCCATGGCAGATGGTGGAATTTGAATTCAATAAATATCTGGAACTGAGAGTCTAATGATGACCATGAATCCATTGTTGATTGTTGGAAAAACCCATCTGGTTCACTAATGCCCTTTAGGGAAGGAAACTGCCATCCTTACCTGGACTGGCCTACATGTGACTGCAGACCCACAGCAATGTGGTTGATTCGTAACCGCCCTCTGGGCAATTAGGGATGGGGAATGAATGCTGCCTAGCCGGCGATGCCCTCATCCCATGAATGAATAATAATAAAAAAAGACTGTCCTTTGTTCCATTTCAATTGCCAGTACTTCATTCCAGTTTGTCCTGGCCAGGCCTATCACTGATTTTAAATGGGAGAGTTATACTGCAAATAAAAAGTCCAACTTTTGTGCTCAGAAAAATGCTGACATGCCTTTAATATTTTTTCTAAAGTACTGTTAAATTTTGTATTTAACATATATTTTTAAATTCAAATTAAATGCTCTCAATTGTGTTAATTTCTGCATTGTACATGATGTGATTGAATCATTTCCCCCCCATACTCAATTTCTAGAAGTATGCTATGAGAATTATGAAACGATGTGACTATCCTTTGAGACAGAACTGTAAGCAACTGAGCCATTGTTTCTGGGACAGTGCTACAGTTTCTTTTTGGGTGTGAATGCAAGCACAGCATCCAAACTTGAGTTGTAAACTTCGTGCTCTGCAGTGTATCTTGGAGAATGTAGTGTAGAGGGATACCATTTTGCAGGAGGCAAATTGAAGTCTGAAATTGAGTCCATTAGATATAACCTCCAAGTGTGTTCGTACTGTTTGAGATGTTACTAATTGGAGCCTTAACTTCTGAATGAATTTCCAAAATAACTACAGACTTGCTGTGAGACATAGCATCTTCAGGTTTCCTCTTCCTTTTAAAAAAATCCATTATAATAGTTACAACTTACGTTATTTTTGTTTTGGTTCACTATTTTTTGTTAAAGGTATGAATGCTGTTGATGTCATGGGATAATTATCTCCTCAATGGGAGGAATCCTATTGAGGCGATGGAGGTCTCAGTCATGGGCTGGAGAGCCAGCAAGAGTCCTGTGTCACCTCGTCCTTATTAGTGAAGCTCCTTTGTGTCTCATTCCACTTGGGCGCTGACAGGCCTTCTCCTAGGGATCCAGGATCCAAGGGTAGAGAGCTGTTGACCAATTAGATGTAGTGGCACTGTGAGGCGGTAGTGTTGCTTTTGTGGCACTCAAGGTCATGGATCATCATTGTGTTCCAAGCTACAGGTGAATGGTTGTGGGAGGGGGTTACAGGTTATGGCTCGTGAGTGAATGGGGCAGCAGAGTTGGAAGTAAGGGCTGGTGAGATGATCCCAGAACTCCCTTGCTTCCCTGATACCAAGTCCTTCAGTCAGACACTGAATACCTTTTGAATGAAGAATCTGGCAAACAGTTCCCCACCCATTGATGGGTTAATATCAGCAGTGGCATTAAGGGGGGATTAATTGTCCCTTACCCTGTTGCCACAGGCATAATCTGGATGGAGGAGTTGGGCCCCCAGCCACTGTCTTCCCACTCCATCAAACTAGGGCAAGATTCTGCCCCATTTGTTTTCGAGTGTTTGTGTGGTGTCCTCAAAATACCAACTTAATACGGATCAGCCAAATAAGGTGTTTAAAATAATTGCATTCATTCAAACATGACCTGTGCATTTTCCACATTTTTGTTCAACCAGAATATTGTGGTGTTCCTGTATAGTTGGTATTTGCTCTCCTTGTCTGTCATTGCAGCAGATTAAATGATTATTATGTTTTGTGGTGTCAAGCGATAATTAATACTGTGTTTGTAAGTGAAGTATGAATTTGCCGTACAAAGTCAGATTGTTATAATATTTCACAGCGTGATCTAGTCACTGACACTTGAAACTACTTTTTTAAAACTAGAGTTTCTTAGCATTGAAAATGCTGGTGAATGAACATTTGCACAACATAACACCACTAGAAACTTAACATTTAAGAACACAATCCATTCATCAAAGTACAGAATTCCCAGAGGAATAATTAACAGACAATTCCAAATTATGTCTTCCAACTGTGGTTCAAGTCAAACATTATTTTACAAAAACATGTGTTCTGATAGGAATGCATAATAATGGCAGTTTTACACTGGCAGTATGAATCCAACATCAACTATTTTACTTTCTGCATTTAGCCTAAATCCAACTCCCTTTCTCCTGTTTATAGATCTACTAGTTGGAATTGTAAGACCAATTTCTAACAGAAGTACATTTGGAAGTGTGAACTTGTGGAGGTGACAACTAGATTTCAGTCTCTCAGTACCAATTAAAATGTACCAGTGTAAATATGGCTATAATGTAGCTGATTGCACAGCTAGAAATCGTCAAGGACTTTAAATGGAATTCTGTTGCCATTAATTAAATGAGGTTGTTAAGTTTAAAACTTACGATATTGTGGCACATTGATTAACAGATGTGGGAAATGGAAGAAAGGTCTCACTAACTCATTTGGAGTTGTAGTTCTGATGGTGGGATAGACTTGACGGCTCCTACTGCTCATTCTAACCATGCTAAATTTTAACATTAACTCTTTGATAGCACCTATAAATACCTATCCCTAATATTGCTTACCTGACAAACAAAATTCTTTTGAAGAAAAGAATATGTTGGTCAATAAAAGTTTCTGGTACAATGCCCCAATTTCAAGTTTGCTGCCTAAATTGTGATTGGTATTTAAGACACCGATTGTATTTAAGGACATCTGTGGGGCCCTCCTTCCATTGTGGGGGGGAAAATATACTCATTCTCTTCAAATGCAGTGTTATGTCAAACCCTGCCTAACAGAAATATTTTGTTTTCAGGTGGTTTGCCAGGTGGGAGTGACTGT